ATTTGTCAAGCCTTTTGCCCATGCTCCTTTGATGTTGTGCTTGGAATTGAAGCCACATGACATGTGCATTTCCCATCATACATTTAAAACAGCTTGAGTGGGGCAATTGTTTTGTTTGGAATGCATGCGGACTTTCTTTGCTTAGAATGGATTGTTGTTTGTGTGTTGTTGACCATGGCCTGCATTGTCACATTGCTTTTTTGGGGTCGATTATAGGTGCCAATCGGTAGGGAGCTATTTTCAGAACTGAATCTGTCCCATCCAGTGCTTTCAGCAAGACATATGTTGGGTACGATTGCAGCCTAGGGAGGCGGACATCAGCATTGATAGGCAACATGGGGGGCTATGACGATTGTTACCATCAGGTCTCTTACGGACGTGGCAAATCAAGGGGAGTGTTTGGAACATGTGTCCAGGGCAAGGCTGTGCAGAGCGGATAAGGGGAAATCAGGCACTCATGCCAATGGCTCACGAAGCTGCTGCAACCATTGCCACAACGAGCTTGTAGTTTGTGCAATTACAACGCTGCTGAATGACCATATGAAGCGTACATTCGAGAATATTACCTTAGGCCTTGAATGATTAAGTTATGATGTTTGGTTGGAAGCCTTGCCTGAAGGTTGCTGTGCTTTGTTGGATCTTTTGCTTGCCGTGGCAACAGGGCCAACCAGGCCCTAAGGACTGCCAATGTTGTCAAAAGGAGTAGGAGAAAGTCCGCTGGCAGTACTTGGCAATATTAGATGCCCTTTCTCAGAGGAGAGAGAAACAACCACAATTTGACCGCATGATGTACCAGATCCAACGAATTGTTCGCAGGACTGCTGCAAGGACATGGAGTTCACCTGCGGCGAGGCGCTGAACCAGGCGCCAGGGCTTCCCCGTCGTGTCGTGGTTTCCACTCAGCTTTCGCTTTCGGGAGAAAACGGCAACCGCAAGGATTTGGTTTTGTGGACCCGTGGCGACAAAACAGGGGCAGACCGCAGGTTTTGGTCCATGGAAACCACTTACCAGGGCAAGCCATTGTGGACTTCCGGGTTTTTGAGCCGCAGCCACATGTTGCTGACTCCTCGACACGGCACTGCGGAGTTGAAGCATGCAGACATGGCCATGGGTCAAAATCCAAATCGTATCCCCAGTGACCATCCCAATCCAACCGCTAAGATAGGTTCTAAAATGGGGGGTGAACTAACCTACCCCAAAGTGGGATCCCCAAACGGTTTGGACAACCACAGCCATCTCGATATCTTTGGCCCAGGCTGCGCATGCAGGCTTGGTGCTCTTCAACCGGACGCAGGCGCGGCCGGCTCTGGGGAAGCAAGAATTGAGGAGGCCAGACACATCTCAAATGCACAAGTGGGTATGGGTCAAAATTAAACCACCGGGATATGGACCGCAGGTTTTAGCCCATGTTTCCATTTACCTGGGCAAGCCATTTTGGGTACATATTTTTGACCCACGCCCAAGTTGCTGTGTTCCGTCCACCCAGTAGCGATGGCGAAGATAGATGGTGAGGAAAGACAAGCTCAATGATGTGGATGATGGACAGATGTGAGGCAATTTCTGTTCCACGCAAGCAATTTGACATCTGGCGGAGAAGCTGCAGAGGAACGAGAGCCGCGCACAGCTTGGAACTGGCTAATCAATATGAAGACACCCCTTTTTTGGACCGTTTGAAGGGATCTCAAAAAGGACCCCTAATTTTGACAACCCCCGACCCTGATCCCTGATCAGGACTCTTTTAGCTGGATCTTTGGCAAGCAGGACTTGGATTACTACATGCAGGCAATGGGAAAGCTGCCCTGAATTAGCTCGCCACACGAGCTCAGCTTTGCTCTGCTCTTGACCTCATGTTGCATTCATCCTCTTAGGCCCTCAGCTTGCAGTTGTTGCTCATTTTCCTTTTAGATTGCACTGCATGGGTCCCACCTTGCAAAATGATAGGGCAACTTGTCTTGGACGCCGCATGAAGCGCTGCTCATGCTTCAAGTTTAGAGCCGCTTTGGAGGGTTCTTGAGATGTGTTGGCCAGGCCGCGCGTATGTCTGCTGCTCGCTTTGGCATTCACCTTGCCACGCAGCCCATCTTCCTTACATGGGTGCCTTGGCTTTGCCACCTTCTGGGATGGAGGGCGCAGGAAAGGCAGGCTAGGCATCGGTGGTGCCCTGCAATGGGCAAGTGAAGTTGGCTGGTTTGTGCTGATGAAACCTTTAATGGCCACAACGTTGAGAGAAAGACCTAGTGCCCGACTGATGTCCTGACAATTCGAAAACCGCCGTTGGCACCTGTGCTTCCAACACAGATTTGTTTGTATTGCATACGGAGATTGCCTTGCGTCAGCACAATTCATCCTGCTGCTCATCACTTGGTGCGGTTTGCAGCCTTGATATGCGAGTCTCAGGTGAGCGACACCGCTTCTGTACCTGGGCCGCAGTCCAGCATGAAGTGGGTCTGGGTCAAAATTAAGCCACCAGGATGTGGACAACAGGTTTTAGAGCTTGGTTCCATTTACCAGAGTTAGCCATTTTGGGGTTGCCATAATATTGACCCACAGCCAAGTGGATGTGATCCAGGGACCTTGTTTTCTTCTTGTTTTTGTGTGGTGTTTTCTGTGTTGGGCGGGGTGTTTCGTTTTCTTTTTTTTTGACTACCTCGGGGTAGACTTGAACCCGGTTGCCCAGGTGGTGGAATCAACCACCCCTGGGTTTAAGTCTGCCTTGGGGTAGCTCCATCCCGTGACTCAGGCTCAGCGAGAGCTTTGGCCACAGGCACCAGGGATGGGGCTGAGGGTTCAACTTGCAGCACCTGGGAGGCGTTTGGAGTCTCAAGCAGACGGGCTCAGGTTATGACCCAAGTGTCTATGGTGTTTGCACTGACAAGTTTGTCAATCCTACATTTGAAGAGGGTCAGCCAATTTCCGAGGTCTGTTGTAGAATGGCCTGAGATTTACACCCACTGAGGAGCACGCCAATTCTAAGTCAAACCTATTTCGGGTCATTTCCCCAGGGTGTCATCTTGGAGTGCTGCACAATTCGGTATGCGCCACAAAGCATATTCCCTTGGTGCTCACGTTCTTCGGATTCCAGTGTGTGGGTCACAACCAATGGTACCACTTTGGGGTAGGTGCACCACCCATTATAGAACCTATTTTAGTGGTTGGATTGGGACGTTCACTGGGGGTACGATTTGGATCTTGACCCATGGCCATATCTTCCCTGCAAGGACTCAAGCTCGGGGGAGCGAAAATCACCGGCAGGCGAGGAATGTGTGGCTGCTGTCCTCGATGCTGGCGCTGCCAGTCTTCGCAGTGGTCAGCTTTGCCTGCGAGGCGCGCCCTCGGCTGAAGCCTTGCCTTTGGGTGTTGGTCAAAAAGTAGGCATCCCACTCTAGGTGTGCGTCTCTAGGTGGTTGTCACTAGTGTGTCTCTCGGTGTTTGACTTTGAAGCCTTGTCTGTAGGTGTTTGTCTTTCGCTTTGGGGACACCAAAGTCATAGTGTCGGAGGGCATCCCACTTCCTCGCAAGCCGGCCTGCGAGTCTGATGTTCTTTTGACACATGGGTGGGGATCGCTCGCAGCGCTGCAGGGCTTGCAGCGTTGAGCGCCAAAGTATGATACTCTCTCTGAAGGAGAACATCCTAACCTCGACCCCAAAGAAGAAACGCCTTGCAGGTCAGACAGGCCTCACAGCTTCACATCTTTTTGTGCTGGGCATTGTCCATTTGCGGGCTCCAGGGCATTTTGTACTTGAGAACTTTCAGTCAACGACTCATTTTATCGAGGGTGCGCCCAGCTTTTGTTCTTTCTGCCCGCTGGGCGTGGCTTCAGCTGCCTCCATGTGCAAAGATCCGTTTGGCGGGTTTATTTGTGGATGTCAGGCTGTCATGGCAAACGATGTCGCAGGACTGGCAGCAGAGTCTGGCATTCAGTGGTGGTTAAAAGCCTCTTGGTATGTGGCTGTGGGTCAACACCGGTTTTGGGATCCCATTTTGGAGTAGGTGAATTCACCACCCATTTTAGTCTATTTTAGTGGTTGGATTGGGATGTTCACTGGGGGTACGATTTGGATTTGGACCCACATGTCTCTATGGCAATCTCTAGGCCTCAGGACCACTTTGGTCTGACGGATCAGCGCAGGACGCCTTTGGGACAAGGACGCGGTCTAGAGCCGAAAGGCCCGTGATAGGCTAAGGCAAGGCCGCACCTGGACCCGGAAAGTTTGACTCGCCTGACGTTGCAACAATGCAACCATAGGTGTCCTTTTTAGGTTGGTTGAAAATAGAAGGCACTGGTTTAGATGGGTTTTATGCCCCATTTTCCAGGGAAACCCATCTATTTTTCCAAGGACACCTGTGAATGCAGCTCTAAGATTGAGGGTTGATGGCTTCGGGGTCAGGTGGAATCCCGGCCTCTGTGAATAGGGCTGTAGTGGGCGAGAGTGGTTGGACCCAAGCATGGATTGCTCATGACTGCTTTCGGCATGGCAGGGACATTTGAATTGAGCATCATGCACTTGCTCCAAAATGCCGCAATCGTTTGCCGCAGGCCGGAGTGACTGCGGCAGTTCCTGAATCTGTGCAAGGGATGTCAGGCATTGAAAGCTGCAACAGGACATCGACCATGGGACAACAGGGCCATGGGACAACAGCCGCATGCCGACACTTGGGACAGGGAGTCTGACAAAAGTAATCGCAGCCAGGCACTTGCTGTCCAAGGCATTCAAAGAATGGCTCCTGGACGGGGTTAGCTTCTGGCGATTGAGCAAAAAGGTGTGCTTGAATGCTGGCTCACTTCGATCCTTCCGTGAAGAACCATGAGAACAAAGTCAAGTCCAGCACATGCTCTTTCTCGGTGGTTGCGAGCCCGCCATGGGCGGAGTTGGTTGAAAGGCTTCATAGTGTAGGCATTCAGCGCTGCAATCATACAGTTGCTCCGCGCAGAACCACTCAAATTCCCCATTCCCAGTCACGGAAAAACCGGATGTTCGATGTCTTCATTCGAGCAGAGGCCACCAGACCCAGAAGAAGCTGATGGCAAGCCAGGCGCACTGCCAATGGCATGTCATGCGCATCGGATGCGCCATGGATCGGGTGAGCTGGACCATCGGATTGCCAGCAAGCAGCTGCCAGTAGAACTCTGACCTGTGCAAGGCAGCGAGCCAATATGCCCACCCAGTAGTATTGGAAGTGGTATAAAGGGGGCTGGCTGGCAGGATTTCCACGCATGGCTTCATTTTTCCCGATTTTTGCGGGAAGATGGGCGACCCTCTGCAACCCTTTCTGGTAGCAAGGGCCATCAGCACATTCTTGGCAACATGCTGGCAGGGTGGAGCAGCTGGTGGGCCTGAAGCTTGGGGATTGGCGCTGCCACTTCTTGGCTGGGTGGGGCAAAACATGGTTTAAACACCACCTTTACAAGGGAAGAATCATCATAACCAGTGGTTTAAACATGTTTAAACCAATGGGTGGCCCCACCCTACTTCTTGGTCCCAAACCAAGGAGAGGTTTAAAAAGTCCAGTAGAAAGGCCCTGGGTGAAGCTCCCATGGGGTGACCGCAGTGATGGGCCCTGGGTTAAGCCCCCGTAGGTTGAACCACAAATTGAATTGCTGTGTGATGATTGCTATGGGACCTGGTGATGTTGCTCCGTCCTCGACAAAAAGCCGACGGACCGACCCTTGGGAGGAGCTTGGGAAGCTTGAAAACAGGGAAGGCAATGGGCAGTAGAGCAGACTGGCGAAGATGCACACTTGAAGCTATCAGACTCACGATCATTGAGCATCAAAATTGGCAGATGTGGACACCAACGAGTTTGTTACAGACACCGCGATTTACTGCGTTTGACGACCGTCTGACCTCAGGATGGCCGTGACTGGAACCAGGCGAATCATCGAGTTTGCCGATCGCAGTTCGCTTATCCCGCGAATGTCTTGTGAAAGGACAATGGCAAAGCCTTGTTCATAGCGAACTATCTCCAGTGAGTTGACCCTTTGACCCCAGGTCCTGCTTGCAAAGACTTCTTGGGGGAAGTGTGGAAGCCTTTCTGATCGCAATCTACAGATCATTGATGCTGAAAGCTTGTTTGTCATATCTTCAAGCAAGCCAAACTTCCTGATGCTAGGGCTGGAGCCAGTGGCCGAGCAGGGCGCTTGGGAAGTGGCGAGCACGGCTTTTGGGACGAGTCAGAACGTGAGCTGTGCCGTGCTTGACTTGTCTTGGCAATCTCGCTTTCGGAGTCAACGTAAACCTGAGCTACAATCAAAACCCGGGTAGATGAAGGTTGGTGAGGGACAATCCCAACCATAAATAGCTGCGGATATCCGCCTTCTAAACTCTTTACATGGTTCTGGGTAGACCATTTTAGTACCGGGTTTTGATTGTGACTCGTATGCATCATTGGGATGTGCCGCGCCAACACGCCCACGTCATAACTATGGTGCTGAGAGCGGGTAAGCGCAGTTGGCAAGGCTCGGGGAGCACTTCGTGGTGGGATGCGAACAACAGCTGGTCGTCCAGCCCAAACTGGACGGCCTGAGAGATGAACTAATGTACATAGGAAAGCTCCAGCTGGCTCTTTGACGGTTTGCAGAAGCCCATCCTCAAAAGTTGAAGAAGAGCAGGTCAAAGAGTCATGCTGTGAACCGCAAAGAGCTAAGTGTTTAACAAAATGGTGCGTAGGTGTTTGGAGCGAGCGCGCTGCCAAGAGTCAGTTCACTGACTTTTTGGCGCATGGGCATTTCCGGCCCGTCCGCGCAGGTGCATAGGTCACCACACTGGTTCAAGGACATGCTGTAGACAGGGTAGACACAGCAAATATGCCACCGTTACTTGACTGTCCTTTGGTGAAGCAATACGTTGCCCGACATTTCTTCGCTGGATCTTGCATCCACGAGGATGATGGCCTCAAAGCCAGAAGTAGACTCTAGCTGGGCGATGAGAGATCACAGAGCATCAATATAAAAATAAAAATTAAAAAGTAGCAAGGTATGGCCTTATGAGCCTTCCAAAGTTTCAGCCAGCTAGTATGATGTTCACACATGGCGCAAGGTATCCAGTACCAGCACACTGCAGCGGCAAGCGGCCGAATACACGGGCATCGATCAGACCTTGGCCAACTGGTTGCCATTTGCCATGGCACTGCCAAGGCCGTCTTCTATTCGATGCAGACTGCTAGCCAATCACAGCCCTTCTTTCAAATAGTGGGAACGTCACGGGACAGTGTTGTGGCGGCGTGAAGCAGCGCGTCATGTACTAGAGTGCCTGTTAATGCGCGTTTGGGGCGGTGGCTGGCTTTGACTCTGGGAGGCTACGAAGACGCTGGGTGGATGCCCAAGCAGAGCGTGAGACTGTGAGCTGCTAGAGGCACAACGGATTTTGAGTGAGCCTCAGCCGGAGGCTTTTGACATTGTGATCCACCCGTTGCCGCGTCTCCAGAGAGCTGACGCCAGTTGTGCTCCCACGGCAAAGGTTCTGGTCATCAGTGCTGCCGCCCTTCAAGCCGTGCCGGGC